CCTTACCATCGTGAAAAAAATCAAAATTTCTTTTTATAAATTTACAAAAAATGTGTCAAAATCTTTTAGTTTTTGACCAAAAATGACATGAAAATTTAACATTCTGATAGAAAATTTTATATAAAAAAATTTAAAATATTGTTTTCTAAGTGCTCTATTTTAATGTAATTCATAATCTACACTGAGCATGAAACACAAAACACACACATGCATCAACACAACAAACACAACTAGCTCAGTAGACGAACACACACACACAGACAATGGCAGCACAAAAGAATCGACTGTTAAGTCATCATCATTAACTGCTCTCCCCTTTCTTTTACAGTGTATACCAGACCTGGGCAATCTACGGTTCGTGTGGCAGATACGGCCCACTTGGCTTTCTAATCCGGACCGCCCACCACTGATACCAGGTAAGCTAAAGACTGATGTTTATCTTTCTATTTTATGCATTAAGACGAAACAACTGTAATTCTATTGATGCCAATAGATGGCGGCAGACATCATTTGTGCCAGATTATCTTTGAAGGTTTAGGTTTATTCTTGTACATTTTATTTATATTACTTTATCCAGCGTTTTACATCCAATCCACACTGAACCAGCCCGTGGGGCAAAAAGTTTGCCCACCCCTGGTGTATACTGTATCCTAGAGTGAGGGGCAGCGCTATGACGGGGTAAACAGCAAGGCATATACATTTTCATGTCAGTGTCTTATTGCAGTGATTTTTATTTTTTAAATGAGAAAAGCAGTTTTATAAGAATGATGGGGTTTAAAATATTTAGTGAAATTTGAATCAATAACTGTGTGGAGGTGGGGTCTAGGTACCACTGCTGTAACCTTTGACTGAAATATTACGGCTTGGCTAAAGTTAAATACTGAAACTTTAAAATAAAAAAAACACTCAAAGGCATAAAAGAAAGAAACAGAAGTAAAACAAAACCTGTGTTCAGCTCCGTGATTGGACAGTTCGTGCTGATCTGAAGCCATCGATGTAAGATGTAAAATGACACCAGGATGAAGAAAAAAAAAGAAAAAAAAAGGTCATGCATTCAAGTGCATTCTTGTCCCTCCAGACTCTGGCACTGTACTGTCGTCAGGAACACTGACGGTCACTGACGGACAAGTCTGACCAAAGTGCAAAATCCTGTCACCACCCTGACCCCTCACTGGACAATCTGGGGCATCTCACTCCAGGCTTTGGCCTTCTTCTTGGCCAGTGCCATCCACGGAGGCTCGTCCTGGGGGAGAGGCGGGCCGGTCAGGCCTCTCTGGGGGGAGACAGCCGCTCTGGGACCGGATTTTTCTGGAGCTGTTACGAGCGAAAAGGCAGTGGGTGTGACGGCAGCGCTTTGGGGCGGGAGGGGTTTAGAGGGGGAGGTGGTGACAGGTTTGGGCGGGGACGAGGGGCTAGTGCAAGAGTTGGGTTTTTGGGGAACAGGAACTGGAGTTGGACTTGGTCGGGATCTTTGGTCTACAGGTTTGGTGGTGGAAGGTGGAACGTAGGGTTTTGGAGGCACAGCACAGGGCAGCAGGTGGGCCTTAGAAGGCTGAGCTGGAACTGGAGTTGGAGGAGGGAGGTCTCTCTTTGCCTCCTTCACTGCAGGCAAAGTCACTGGAAGAAACGATAATGTAGAAAAATGGAAGAATTTACACATTATTTCATTGTTGAGAATCTTAGGGTCAGATGCGGTAACACGGTTTGTCCACAAGAGGGAAGAATAACCTAAGACAAAATCACAAACGTCGTATTTTGTGTTCTGCTAATGATCTTTTTTTCTCTCTCTGTATTTGTGCTTGTTCGTACCCTTTCCTGGGGATTCAGGTGTTTTGCTGCCCTGCCCTCTGCTGGCCTGTGGGGGCAGTGAAGGCTTCTTCTCCTGCTCCTCCTGATGACAGACAACAATAACAGTCAAAGGTAAGAACTGTCATATATAACAGTACAGTAAATAGAACTGGAGAGTAAACAAATATTATATTTAAATGTATATTATTATTATTATAATTTTTTTTCATATATAAAATCCGTATATAATTTTAGATTTTTCTTTTTGCTCAGACTTGTTGTGGGACCATCAGTGAAGTCACTGACCTTCTTCACCGTCATGTCCAGGGACTTCTCCTGGTAGATCTTCTGCTTCTGTTTGGCCATAGAGATCCAGCTGGGAGAGTCCGATCCAACAGAACCACCACGAGCTGCTGCCGGGTCTGAGTGGAACGTCACGGCATCATTACACCTCAGCTCTCCATATAAGTAAAGTGTCTGTGTGTGTGTGTGTGTGTGTGTTCACACACCTGAGAAGAGCTTGGCTTTACCTCCACCATCTCCGTGCATCTCTGGTTTTTTAGGAACGACAGGTCGGTGACTGACTGACGGATTAGTTGCTGGTTTAACCCCGACCGTTGGAGGTGGTTCAACCCTGGGGGCAGTTGTCTGAGGCGGAGATTCAGAGAGGGACTGAACCGGAAAGAACAAAAAAAGTGGTGAGGATCAGAATCTGTTATAAAATATCACACAGTACAGTCAGGATTAATGTATAAACTGAGGTCAAACTTTGTCCTTTGACCCTAGGTCACAACCTGATTCTTTGTCTGGTCTAAAGACTGAACTCCATTTGATTTATTGTTTATTTTTGAGGGTGGAAAACCTGAATTAAAAAAAAAAGTAACAAAACTTGATAGAGTTATAATGCTATAACTTGTCAATGCTGTAGGGGGGCAGTAGTGAGTCACATTCCCCATCATGACTTCACTTCTAACGCTTCCATTAAACCTCTGTATTTACTGGGATTTCTTTAAAACAATTGCTTAAAAAAAAAAAAAAGACAAGATTTTAAATGTATTTCAATCTTCCAGTTATGTAACCAAAATATGGAGTTCATAAAAAGTTCATTCAAACAGTGCAGTCGTACAGTCATCTCTGTGTTTTCCTCCTCAGAGCTGAAGAGGTGCGAAGCAGAAGTCTTCCTCAGCCGGATTCCAAATGGACTGTCAGGATTTCCCTCAGATCTGACGCAGCTTTCTGTAAGTGGAAAATGCAGTTCTTTAATCCACAACACAACACAACACAGTCACATAGTCACATAGTCACATGGAGATGTTGGCTAGAGTGGCACAAACTATGGCCCGCGGGCTGGATACCTCCCACTAGGCTTTTTAATTCAACCTGTCAAATATTGACAACATTTTTTAAATCATAGATACCAAAGCCAACTGTCATTTTAGCCTTTATTTTCCTGCATTACCAGTTCTTCCATTGAACCACTAGATGACAACAATCTATGATAAAGGCAGGCAAATAAACATTCTGCTTCTTTTGGGGGGGGGGGTTAAAAGTTAATGTGAAGTATGTTTCTCTTGTTGCTAGAAATGTACCTTCTGTGTCTGCAGCTGAGTTCTGGGGTTTAGAGGAGGAGGAGGAGGAGAAGGGAGCAGCAGAGTTCCCAGAATTACTTGCTCTACCAGGACTCCACACCACGTCGACCTCAGGTGAACTCACAGGTTCTGCTTTCACAACACTTTCCTTCTCTGCTGCTGCTGTTGTTGTTTCTAACTCCTCACCTTTGTATTCAGCAAGAGTGGGTGACACAGGGGTGAGGCAGGGGGGAGGAGAGGAGGGAGGAGTCAGACTGTGAGATCTCTGCCAGGCCGGAGCGATGGTGAAGCGGGCTTTACTCTGCTCTGACCTACTGGGTGTCTGCTGGACCGTGTCATCCACAGAGGCCACGGGTTGATCCTCATCTGTCGCCGCCATTTCCTGCTTTTCTGCTGCGTCAACAGTTTCTGCCACCTGTCGGAAGACTGGAGGAGGTTTCTCTGCGCTGGGAGAGACCAGGTTAATGTGGACAGTGGTTGTTGCAGACTTGGTGGGAGAAAGAGGAGGAGACACAGCGCCACCTTCTGGAGATGAAGGCCTACAAGGCGAGTCAGCCAGAGTCAAAGAAGGAAGCCTGGCAGGACTAACAACTTCCTCCAGGACTTCAGTTTTTTCTTCTTCTTCCTGTTTCAGTTCACGATCAGAGTCTTTTGTCACTTCTTCTTCTTCTTCTTCAGATTCGTCTTCATCAACTTCCTGTGTTTCCTGCTCCCATTCTTGTTCAGCGGTGACCTCAACATTTTCTTCTGCCACTTCAGAGACTTCTGTGTCCTTCATCACTTCATCATGTGACTCATCAGAAGGTTTGCTCAGGATTTCATCCTCCTCCTCTTCATCATCATCACCTTGTTTCGTTTCAGATGCAGCATTGTCACCTTCACCTCTTTCTGCTCCTCCTAATGACACCAGAACTCCTGTCTCTTCCTCTGCTGCATCACAGACACTCTCCTCCTCCCCCTCCTCTTCATCCCCCTCCTCCTCTGCTTCAAGTTCTTCCTCCATCTCCACTCTCAAACTGACTTGCTGCACGTCTACCTCCTCCTCTTCCTCCTCTTCATCATGGGTTTCTCTGCTCTCCCATTGCTCCTCATCAAACTCTTGTTCTTTCTGTAGCTCCAGTGTCACCCTCTCCTCTTCTTCCTCCTCCTCCTCCTCCTCCTCTTCTTCCTGCTCCATTTCAGTTTCTTTGTCGTCTCTCACATCTTGTGCCTGGATTTCAGATTCTCCTGTGTCTGTGAAACTTTTCTCCTCAGGTTTGTGCTCCTCCGTCTCATCGTCCTCTGCAGCTTCGTCTTCCTCCTGCTGGAAAACAAAGGTGAGAAGGTTACGAAGGAGAACAGTGACTATGGACCTGCAGTGGAGACGGTGTACGGCCTAAACAGAGAAGGTAATAATTCATGTCAAATACTTACATCATTGACAAGTTGTCCATCTTCCTCCTCCTCCTCTTCCTCTGGTTCTTCGTTGTCACTTTTTCTCTCTTGTTCAGTGGAAACCAACTTTTCCTGACAGGAAGGAGTAAATCTCCCTCCATCCTCCTCCTCCTCCTCCTCTTCCTCTGGTTCTTCGTTGTCTTGACTTTTTCTCTCTTGTTCAGTGGAAACTAACCCTTCCTGACAGGAAGGAGTAAATCCCCCTCCATCCTCCTCCTCCTCCTTTTCCTCCTCTTCCTTGGTGAAGGCGTTGTGACACTGATAGCTGAAAAGCTCCTCCACTTCACTCCTCTCTTCTTTCTTCTCCTCTTCCTCTTGATCTTTGACCTCTACTGCTTCCTCCTCCTCCTCCTTCCTTGTCTCCAACTCCAAGAAGACTTCCTCAGTCTTGACGCTTATTGGACAGGACACGAGAGGAGTTTTCAAGGAACTCAAAACCTCTTGCAACAAGGACTCTTCCTCCTCCTCTTCTTCCTCCTCCTCTTCCTTCTCACTAGTTTCTTCTTCTTCTTCTTCTTCCTTTTGTAATAACCTACTTTCAACCTCGTCCTCCACTGACTCATATGCAGTGCTCAGAGGATCAAGTAAATACTCTCTTGGACCAGCAGGAGGCTCGGGCGAGGCTCTGGAAACAAACGTCAAGAGGTTAGTTTGACATAACAGGAAAAGAAAAACAGACAAGAGAAGAAGGAGAGAGTCACGCGTCGTCACCTGGGAGTGTCCAGAGAGGAGGTTCCTGAGCTGGGACTGGACAAGTGGAGAGGGTCAGGCGTGTCCTCCTCAGGAGGACAGGAAGTGTCCAGGTTGTGGGAAATATCCTGTTCGTCCTCTGACTGGGAATCCTCTTCCTCCACCGACTCCTCACTGTAGCTCAACAGGGATTTTCTGAAATGTTGTGACGGCTCTTCCTCCTCCTCCTCCTCCTCGTCCTCCGTATCATCCTCATCTTTGTCGTTCTCTTCTTCCATTTCCCTCGTGAACCCTGATTTAAGCTCTTCTAAACTTACAACTGTAGAAAAGATATAAGTGATGAAGAAAATGAAAATGAATGTTAAAATAAATGTTACGTTCCATATATCGTCTGTTGTCATTCTCTTTTACAGTATGTCTTAATGTTCATATATATTAAAATACCTAAATATATATACAACCATGTGTATATATGTACATATAAATGCACATATATGTATAAATATATGTACATGTAAATATACATATACACACATACTGTATATGTTAACACACACATATAAATGTAACTCTTATATAAAGTACGTCCTGACCTTGTTCTGGCTCCTCCTTAGGTTCTGACACTGATGTGTCCAGTGTTCCGTCCATCATGTCTTGTCCCTCGGTTCTTGGCTCCAGTTTCTGCAGGGAGAAAACATACACATATATTAACAGTTATACAGTTAATGCGTATATGTGTATACATATATACATGTGTATATATATACACATATACGTGTATATATATATATATTCATATATACGTGTATATATATATACACACATGTGTATATGTATGTATATATGTATATATATATACACACATGTGTATATGTATGTATAAATATTTATGTATACACATATACACGTGTGTATATATATACTTAATATATGTGTATGTTTTCTCCCTGCAGAAACTGGAGCCAAGAACCGAGGGACAAGACATGATGGACGGAACACTGGACACATCAGTGTCAGAACCTAAGGAGGAGCCAGAACAAGGTCAGGACGTACTTTATATAAGAGTTACATTTATATGTGTGTGTTAACATATACAGTATGTGTGTATACGTATGTATACATATACATATATACATACATATATATACATATATACATACATATATATACATATATACATATATAAATACATATGCATAGATACATAAATATGTATATATATATACATATACATATACATATATATATATATAAACATATATACATACATATATACAGAATAAACAATAAAGTAAGAAAACAAACAAACAATACATTCATTGAAAACATAGTATTTGTTTGTGTACTGCAGTCTTACCCTGGCAGGTTTCCTCCTGTTGCAGGCCTTGTGTCTTAGTCCCAGTTTGTGTTTTGCAGCAGAGTTGTCCAGACAGGCCATAGGACTGGCCGCTTGACTGAAGTCTCCAGGAGCCACCAGGGGGCTCACTCCTCTGCTGGAGGACGCACAGGGGAGCTGGGAGGACAAGAGACAAAAAAAAAACACAGGAGGTTTCACTGAATCGCAGCTTCATGAATACATCGTTGACAGAGTAAATATTTCCCCGGGATCTGTAAACACAGGTACATTTAATTTCCTCTTTGAAGGGATTGAAATATTTTGTCACTGTCTGGAGACACGCAGTGACAAGAACTTGGACGTGTCCAGCCTTGTCGGAGGGAAATTGTGTCCACATGGAACTGTTTCCTCCAGGTCTGTTTCTAGTTGTTTCAAAGGCAGCGGGGCCAGAAACTCTGACAGTACTGTGTAGTATTTATGACTCCAGAGCAGTACCCAATAGGAACAGAAATACTGAAATACGACTTCCAACTCTACAAAAATCTCTACGTCCCAGGACATTTTTGAAAATATTCCTGCCAAAAGAACCTGGGAAAAGTCAGTAAATCCACTACATACAACCTCCAGAAATATTTGGCTCTGAAAGTACCACGAGTATGACCACCATTAAAGTACAGCAGCAGAGGCCTGAGAAAATAATTGATTCCTAATCAGATTATTATGACCACTCAGTTCAACTGACACCAACATGACATTCTGAGACCACACTCACAGTCAAAAACACAAAGCTACAAAAAAAAGTCACATGTACGCAGTACCAGTGCCGTAGGTTGAGAACCAAACATTACTGCACAACTCATTGTATAAGTAGTACCAGTAGTAGAACCTCGTCCTTAGAACTAGCAGAGAGTAAAAGTCAATTCTTTGTCAAAGGTCTGTTGGAAAAAACAGTTTCTGTCCACGTGTGCAGCTGAAACCAGAGGAATGTACTGAGAACAACCAGAAACACACACCCGGAGAACACACACTGAGCCCGTGGTTGTTATATATACATATACACATATATATTTCTCACAACCTATACTTTTTCAGTAAACAGAAAGACAGGTTGACTCAATCACTGGCTCGGTTCAACTTCAGGCTCACAGACCCCAGGGTCCACTAACTATCTATATGCAACATTTTACTTTTTTTGAATTGTAATGAAGTATATAAAATATCGTGTCTCCATAACTGTGTCTGTGTCCAGACTGAGCCACTGCCACTGCCACCGGCAGCAGACCTCTCTGGCCTAAATGCTGCGACTGGAATGCTCTTCAAGTTGGATCTTTTCAGGTTCTGGTCTGCACGGTCATTTGTGGCTTCAGACCGGCTGAAATAGCTCAGACTGCACTATTATTAAACGCTCGTTTGTCATACTTTGCTGACTCTGCGTTTAGCCCACATTATAGCTTAAACAAATAGTTGAGGTTTTTTTCTCTGCAGGATTTGTTTCATCACAGTTTGGCACAGATTTACGTCCGTCCTCCAGCATCAAAGACCAAAGAGTGAACTCCAAAGTCAAAGTCGTAGTCCTGAACTACCGACAGAACCTGACAGAACTGATCAGTATTTTTGCCTCCTTACCTGGCCATCGTCGCCCCCTACTGCCTCCAGACTGACGCTGCTGCTGCTGTGAGTCTGTTTCTGAAAAAGACGATGAAAAAAAACACCCGTCAGCGTCGCGGCAGCTTCGACTTGTCTCACTGAGTGAAGTCGGAGTTCAAAAAGGTGTGTCACCATCGCTGCCTGAGGTGTGGTGTACTCAGGGGGACTGCAGGGTAGACCGTCGTCCTCAGACGTGGTGCCGGCATCTTCCATCTTCTTCACACACATCAGAGACGGAGGAGAGCCCAGTCTGATGGCCTGTTTCAGCTGGAGCTGCAGGAATGAAACACAAACACAGACAACGATTAACGTCGGTTCAGTCACGGGTGTTGTTTGGTTTGTTGATAAAGAAACGTACCATTGGTCAAAACCTGATGATGTCACAGTATTTATACACAGTGGAACACCCAAGATACGAGTTTAACACTCGTATCTCGATCAAATTTCCCCCATTACAAATTACTAAAAACCAATTCATTTGTTCCAGCCCAACAGAAATATACTATTAATTAATTAAATTAAAATCCATCTCTATCTAAACATTAAAAAACATAGATATAAAATCCATCTCTATCTAAACATTAAAACAATACTACAAACATTAGAACAATAGAAACTAATAAATTGATAATGTAAAATAATAATAATTAAGAAAACCTTTTATATTATTGTTATAAAAATTGGTAAAATAAAATAACCCTTTTATATACAGAGAGAGACAGCACCACAGAGAGAGAGAGAGAGAGACATACAGTAGATATGGAGAGAGAGAGAGAGAGAGAGACTAGCAGATGAGGTGCCTACAGTTTAATATTACACTGTCGATCTTCTTGTGTTTACCAGACCTGATGAGTCAGCTGGCAGCAACAACAGAACCACTGTTTGTCCGAGTGCTGCCTCCTACTGTGTGTGTGTATAAGTGAGTGTCAAACACAGAGAGGGAGAGATAAAGAGAGCGAGAGACATAGGGGGTGTGCAGTGAGAGTATCACAGAAACTCCAGACCAACTCTGTAACTCTTGTTGTCGTCCTGTTACGTGCTGCCCTGTAACAGTCACTCCAGGACTGAGGTGCAGAGTGGACAAAGGTCAACACAGCAGCCATGACCACAGTGGTTCACACTGACCAGTACAGTTACACACACACACACGAGACAAAGACAAGTACAGTGTTGATATTCATACTGTACAAGTACAAGTACAAATACTGTCAGTACTGGTCAGAGACAACGTCCAAGTTAACGTAGATACATACAAATATATACCTATACATATATAAACACATATATATGCATATATATATATTTCTATATATGTGACACATACAAATATATATGTATAAATATACTGTATATATATGTATCCATATATATGTATATATATATATGTCTATAGAGTACATATGTAGATTGACATACAATCTAAATGGACTCAGTTCTACAATATAATCTTGGTGTTTAATCAGTTCCTTTTTTATTTCCAGCTAAAATGTATTGATTGTGAGTCACAATGAAGATGACAAAGGTTAAGAAACGAAATATATTTTGGTGTGATTTAATTTTTTTTTTCATAGAGTCAGTGTTGAATGTGTTAACCTTGTCTCGGCAGCGTGTCGTCTATAATCTGATACCTGGAGTTTCAGAGTCTCGAGCCTGTGAAG